ATGGGATGTTGATAACAGACTGACAGTACACTTTTATTGGGGAAAAAATAAAAAGGAGGGCTAATAATATACCGCACTGCTACAAGGCTGATATTGCGTTTATACAACAGTTCGACAGCACAATCGTGTATATAAAAAAGAAAATCAAACACTGAGAGTCTAAAACCCTTTTGTATTAAGACTACTTTCTTTCGCCATTCATTCACATCTGCAGCTGATGTCAGAACAGCAGAAGCCGTTACTAGTTCATCAAAGTCACTTTAGAGCTAGTGTTTGAATGATTCTATATATCATAAATTCTAAAGTAATGATAAAACAGCTGATTTTGCTCACATTTGAACGTGACTTGAAATGCCATCCGCCTACAGAGATATCTTCCTTCAGTCTATTACAGTCCACAATATTTTCCTGTTGCCATCGGTTTTGTGACGGGTGCCAGGTGTCCCAGCATTTACCCGGAGACTTTAAGGAATGGAAAAAAAGGAGACATACCATTTCGCTCTTCCTATTGGCCTTTATGCATTTCTCCCAAGTCCTGTCGACTACATAAATGCCAGTCAATGACAATGAGTACAAAAAATAAAAATAAAAAGACACTAAAACATTCAGCGCAAAATAAAATATTACATTATATGTAATGTATTACATGTATTGGAATGTATGTATTATGTGTAATGGAATTACGTGCTTCCATCTCAAAGGTAAAACTACAGAAAAAGTCCTCTTAAAGGGGTCATGACATTTATACACAATGCATTTCAAACATTAAATGACCGTTACAATATCACAATAATTAACCCCGAAAGAAGCAGAGCAATCACTACCAGACTGCTGTTGTGTTTGCGATAAGGAGGGATGAGGCTGAATCCAGCTTCTTATTCAAAGCTTCTTATTGACGCTATCTGGTCCACCTTAAAAACTGTGACGCTTCTGTTTTTCAGCTTCTTATTCGCGCTCAAGAAAACACGCAGTTTTAATCTTCTAAGCAAGAGTTTATTATATATATATATATATATATATATATATATATTTTTTTTTTTTTTTTTTTTTTTTTTGACCAACTAATAAGGTTTCATTTGAAGAATGGAAAAGATAGATGCTGCAAAATGACCAACTTGTTCATTCCATGCCTAGAGGTCTTGGTGCTGTCATTAAAAGTCACGGCGGACATGTTTGTTTTTTTTTACACACAAAAATGCAGCCTTTATGTAGCCTGGGGCACATATTTCTTTATTCTCAAAAATCTTGCCCTGGGCACATATTCCTAATGAGCCTGTGTTGCTTTATGTATACAGTACACTAAAGTACATGTTTACGTGTCAATATATAGTAATTGATTTGTTGACTAAATGCTGCATTAGTGAAAGAACAGCTGTCTCAACTGACAAGGCTGAGAGGAGGCTAACATTAGCGTTAACTCTAGCTGTTAAAATGTGTTGAAGCTTATACTAATTCATACTGAAACATTCTGGTACAAAAGAATATCACGGTTTCGTGGTATTGGGGTTACTGCTCTACAATATATTCTTTTTTTAAATATCTGGGTAAAAAACTAAAAGGTTTTTCCATTTTAAACATTTAAAATATTTTGGAGCAGTAAAAATGTCAGGCTAAATAATTCAAATAAGTCATTGACGTCTGCTGTGCAATTTAAACAGAAAACAAATTGATCTTTTCTGCTGGAATCATGCATACACCGCAGGAATAGTATAGCAGAAAATTTTGGCAGTTTGAAAACCTTGACCTTTACAAACCATGGTATACCTTGAAAATCGGCAACTGTCCCATGCCTAGCACACATGTACCAAAACAATCTTAATTTTGCAAAGATAATTCAAATTCCATTTCCTGCATGGCTTTTAACCAGTGGAGCACCTCCACCTAATACTGAAAGTGCACGTAATCATTTGTCAGTGCTTGCAGGCCACTATTATCACTAAGAAATCTAGTCTAAAAAATACATATGGAGAAAGTGACAGGGCTGGATTCAAATTCTGAGATGTACAGTTTATGTTTGTGAACACTGCAACAACACTGATAAACATTTCTGCAGATGAAAGATGATGTACAGAATTTACTTTCATTTTTATATAATGTTTATTTTTATGTATGTTTATAATTTCTATATAATAAATTATTTTATTTATTGAAACACTACAGTTTTAATCTATTTTATTGTCTGAATTATTTTTTGTTAAACATACTAGGTATTTTAAATTCACTCTAATCTGTTGATGTTCACAAATGTTGTTATTATTAATAATAATAATAATAATAATAATAATAATAATAATATTCATTCATTCATTTTGTTTTCGGCTTAGTCCCTTTATTAATCTGAGGTCATCACAGCGAAATGAACCCCCGACGTATCCAGCATATGTTTTACGGAGCGGATGCCTTACCAGCTGCAACCCATCACTGGGAAACATCCATACACACCCATTCACACACAGACACTACGACCAATTTAGCTTACCCAATTTACCTGTAGCACGTCTTTGGATTGTGGGGGAAACCGGAGCACCCGAAGGAAACCCACGCCAGTACAGGGAGAACATGCAAACTCTACACAGAAATACCAACAGTCCCAGCCGAGGCTACCCACTGCGCCACCGTGCTGCACATAATAATAATAATAATAATAATAATAATAATAATAATAATAATAATAATAATAATAATAATAATAATATAGGACAACTGATATTAAGTTTTGCTAAATTTATTTTTATGTTATTTCAAAAAAAAAAAATTTTCAGTATACATTTTAATAACAAATCAGTTAATTAATCCGCTATCTGCAAGTAAAGACCCTGCAAGTACCTATTGGTAACAACAAAATCCAACATAAGTCCACCTTTATTACACAGAACAGTATTAATGATTTGGAGCAAACTATTTCTATCTTTCTTTATCCATTAAACAAAAACAAAACAAAAAATGCAGATTTTAGAAAACAATATTTTAAAGTCAAACTAAAGCATTTAAGTAAACTTTTTAGTTGTCAAGATTATACATATAAAATGCTGTACTTATACATAATGTGATACAAGCATTTAAAATTAAATCCCATTACGTGTTTTCCATTCATGTGACACATTATTTGACTGTATTACCGGATAATATCTAATGAATACCATATAATCAAAGACAGAAAAAAATCTATACAACTCATGTGGTGCGATTAGAGTGAACAAATCCCCACTAAAGACCCTCACTAAAGACACCACATACCTGGAAAGAATAAATGAGAATGAATGATTGGCTAATGGATGCTTTCCTTTTTTACTATGCAAATAAATGCAAAACTCACTACACCATGTCCTTTTCAAGAAAAAAAATGTCCTCTATTCAAAAGAGGACAAAACAGCTGATTTTATCTTAAAGTTCTAAACTTTAATGTGATGGAAAACAGATAAAACTTTGGTGTTTATGCAAATAATATCTCACACAGAGTGCTGGAATTATCTCTGCCCAAAACAAAATTGCAGTCATTTCTGAGATCACACCCTTTTTGATCAATATTGGTCATTTTTATTTTGGTTGCACAACATATACACAAAGGTACAGTATCATGATACAGATTTTAAGGTGGAGCCCAAACAACAGGCAATCACAACGTAACAGACTTTAAACTGGCCTAACAGGATCTTCCCTTCCCCCGCAGCACACATACACACATTTACTACAGTATGTGTCCTCTAAATCACACTGCTTCGAGGAGGTGGAATGTATGATTAATCATGAGAGTTTTTCCATGATCACTTTATTTAATTACATTTTTTATTAAAGTTATTATCTGGCATTACATTAAAAGTGACACTTACATAATGAGCCTGCAATTCACATATTTAGAAGTGGAAATAGGTTTAATGTGCTCAGTCAAGCTTGCATATTATTTTAAAGTTTATTAGTTACTTGTAGCTTTCAGATTATTAGGAAAGATTATTAAAAAATATTGAAAACAAAGTTGGTATGTGTGCAGTTAATATTACTTATTCATAATACATAATAACAATAATACTTTTGTTAAAAGCATTAAAAAACTGAATGATCAGTGTGCCATAGCCGCATGCAGGTGGCCATTTTGTTATCACGTGACAAGAACAATAAAAGAGAGAAGACCCTTTTAAACCTTCATGACTGTGTGTCAAGGTTATTTAGCTTATACTGTATGAATTCTAAACTTCTATGGATTTATTAGATTTATTAGATATGGGCTGAAGTAAAATGTGATATTTTTTAATAAGGTCTGATAACATTTCTTCCAGTTTATAAAAAATAAAACATTTAGATATCTTTTTTTTTCAGCTAATGACAATTTGTCAGAATAACAAAAACATTGTATCCATACAAGACCAGTCATTTAACTTCTATATTGCCCAAAAAGGAACCAAATCTGTTAAACATCCTTCCATAAGAAGACATCTCACATTTACAAGCCAACTTATTTAGAAGAAACAATTACTTTTTCCTTTTCTTTCTTTAAAAAAAAACGTTTCTAGCCTTTACAACAACAACCAAAAATGTTAATATGAAAATGCACCTGACATTAGCATCATCAGGAATTGGATGTCAGTCTTCCTGCAACATGCCCCCTGCTAAACTATCACTCTCCGGTTAAAAATAGATGAAGGGGGCCGGGAAAAGTAAGCAGGTAAAAACTCTAGATCAGGTCCCAAACCGCTCTCTTACTCATTGTTCAGGCTTTAAACACAGCACGTGATAGGAATTCATTCGTATCATTATATATATTTCATCATCAAGAACCCATCATTAAAGCAAGCTCATTAAACACTTTAAAAAGTCACAAGGAGCAGTAGCGGGGAGTAACTTTTAAATGTCACCATCTCCACAAAATCAACACGAAAATAAGAAAAACACACCTGAGTCTAATCTACCTTTAAAAAGCAAGCGCTAATTTCTGCGCGGTCGCTCAATGTACAGTAGTGCGGAACACCTGTTGCTAATCGGAAACGCCGCCCTTGAACGCTTACCTGTCCAGGTGAACACGGTGTCCGAATGAGTGTGAAACTGACGTCCCCCTCGCTCTCCCGAGCCTCTGACACTTTTACATATATCCACAAATGGTGTTTGCCGGTTAAAACTACCCGCTTGCCACAACAGGCGAGGTGGTTTTTCCAATGGCTATGAGATGGGGCGTTGTGTGTCAGAACTCCGGGGAGGGCGGGATTTGCGAAAACTCAATTCACAGTCAGTGCAGGGAGTGGTCGAGCCGAGGCAGAGTGCACGCCAGAACTAAAGAGAGACTTCGGCCTTCCCTCGCATCCCATGGGAAGCGTCAGGTGCGTTGTTTGCTCTTTCGACACAGGTGTATTTGCATTTAAGGCGCGTCACCGCTGCGCTTCTATTTAGGCAGAGCTGCGCTATAAATACGACGATATAAAGACTGGGAGAGATCTCTGAGTCAACTTCCGAAGATCATAAAAGGGGATAATTCAGCTTTCACGTCATCTAGACAATATAGGCTTAATGAGTGTGTAATGGCTGTTTATATAGGTTTTAAGTAGAGCCAGACAGAATCTGCGGACATTTTTTTCTATTTCTGCGCAGACTTCTGTAAAAAACAAATCTTTGGAATGTGATTTATGTGGAATGATTTTGGAAGCATCATTACCAAAAACCTTTAAAAAATAATATCTTTAATAACTTTTATTTAATGTTTACAATACAAATCTAATTAGATCCACTTATTTGGTAAACAAAGCAAGTCTCTCATATATATCTACCAAAAGACAAAAATATTACTTTACAAACTGAATTGTAAATAAATCAAATTAACATTTTTTTTATGTGTTAATAATGTTACTGAAATTAATTTAAAAACTGAATGAATACAAGTTTACACATTTACACTAGTCAATATTAAATAGACTCAATGATGGGCTAAAAATCTGCGGATTTATTGTGCATGCAGTTTCTGTGTGGGCCTAGTAATAGCCTAAGTAATCATCCGAAATTTTATACCAAGTATTTCAGGTAATGTTTAAAATAATGCAGTGCTGACTTTACTTTTAAAAGTAATATAATATAATATATCTTCAATGACTTTAACTAAATGTGTTATTTTTAAGGAAGGTATTGTGAAAGTATGTGTTATGTTGTTATTTTTTTATAAATTAAGATTTAATATTGGTTCAAGATTCTAATATATTACTTTTAAAAGTACTTCACCCACCACTTGTTAAATAATCAAAATATGAAGTAGACAACTAATATAGTCTGCTACAGAATTTTTCAAAACGCATAGAGAAATGTGCTATTTTCAATAGACTTAAATTCTCCTGGAAAAAAAAATCAGTTCTCAAATGAAGATGAACAAAGGACAATAAGGCCCTTGTGTTTATTTGCATGCATGTGTATGAGAGAGAGAGAGAGAGAGAGAGAGAGAGAGAGAGAGAGAGAACATGAGGATTGTGTTTTAAATCATTGATGATTCTCTTCAGATGTTACAGATCATGTTTCGGTGCAGTGCTTCTGTGGGTGTTATACAGGTTGAAACCCTTGCATGTATGCATACATATATACATACACATACAATTGAAGTCAGATTTATTAGCCCCTCTTTGAATTTTTTCTTCTTTTTAAAATATTTCCCAAATGATGTTTAACAGAGCAAGGATATTTTCACAGTATGTCTGATAATATTTTTTTTCTTCTTGAGAAATTCATATTTGTTTTATTTTATTATGTTTTATTTTATTTATATATTTTTGTTTGATAGTCTAAAGACCAAACCACTGTTATACAATAACTTGCCTAATTACCCTAACCTGCTTAGTTCATCTAATTAACCTAGTTAAGCCTTTAAATGTCATTTTAAGCTGTATAGAAGTGTCTTGAAAAATATATAGTAAAATATTATTTACTGTTATTATGGCAAAGATAAAATAAATCAGTTATTATAGATGAGTTATTAAAACTATTATGTTTAGAAATTTGTTTAAAAAAACCTTTCTGATAAACAGAAATTGGGGGCAAAAATAAACAAGGGGGCCAATAATTCTGACTTTGTATACATATAATACATACATAAATAAAATAAAAAACACAGACCACATCTACACTATAAATTTTTATGAATCCCCATATTATTGTTTCACATGTGCTCCTGAAATTTCCAGGATTAAAAATTACTAAGAAAAAAAAACTGCAATGTGAATGTGAATGTGGTCAGGTATTTAAAACATTCAGTTGACTGTTGGTAGACACCAGTTAACAAATATGTTTATGCAAGCAATAAGTTGGCAAAGATCTTAACTGCCCACTTCCTGAATCTCAATTCAAACCAGAGCCAATGATTTTCTTAGCTGACTGAGCATATAATGGACTGTATGGCCGAGTCATACGGTTATGACAGTTGTGAATTAGGTGAGAACACATACGATGATGATCTTCCAGCCGTGTCAGGGAGTTCAGCACTTGTTGTGCCTTTTTATTAAGATAATGTTACCTTGCCATCTGAGCTTCTGAGAAATGACGATTCGTAGAAAGGTAAAGGACTCAGCTGTGTGGCAGTCGATACTAATTATGGGTTTAATGCCTCTGTAGGCACCGCTTAGATATTTCCATTTGTTATCTCAAGGCAAGGGCTGCAGAATCTTTTAAATTATAGGAATAGTTATGATCAATAATACTATGATTATATATTAATAAACCGTAAATAACAAGTGCTCAGCATAAATGTGTACACCCCTGACAGATCTCTCTGCTACAGTAAATTAATATATTGTTTACAGTGCTTTACAATAATGTATTTGTACAAATTAGATAAGTCGGTATGAATGCCAAAAAATGGAACTAATCCCAAAAAAAAAAACAAGATCACAGTCTAAAAATGTGCAAATTAATATATTAGGGAAATATTTTTAATTACAGGGCAAATGTGTTGCAATATATCATTTGAATTGAAATGTAGTATCTTTCTATTGCTAAAGATGTTTGGTGACCATTTTAATGGACAGAACTGTTCAATAAAACATTTTTGTTTAAATACACCAAAAAATTATTGTCTGAGAAATGGATAAAAATTAAAAATTAAAATTAAAAAGAGGTGCTGGTACCGCTAATGATTTAGCTACAAATTCATATTTATCAGTCAAACCGCTGTAAACACACACACAAACATACACACACACACACACACACACACACACACTTCCACAATCAAGGCTCATACAGGTCGCATCCCACATCTTGTGCTTCATTATTCTATCAGCAGTATCATTGTATATTACAGAGAATAACTTAATCCGAGCATCGAGCATATAAACATCAGTCCCGCGTACATGCGCTTCTCCTTACACGCGTCTACAGACTGTTGTTGACACACGCATACACGCACACACAAAGGCGATCTCTCTTAAAGGAGCCGCACCCCATTTTCACTAGTTACAGACACTTGTCAGATGTTATTTTTGAGAGCTGGCATGAGGTTTACACTGTACTCTTAACACAGCACAAAAGCGCGTGCTTGTACGGGCGTGACGTAGAGCCGATCCACAAATCACAGCACATTATGACACATGACCAATCAAAGTCACTTGAGGGCTGGCCTTTTAGAGGACGCCTTTTAATCGTTTTCATGTTAGCTTTATAGCTGGGTATAATCAAAGTGAGATTTATAAAAAAAATAATAATAACGTGATTTCCTTTAAAGGAAACATGAGCACACATTGTTTTGCATCTTATCATCAACCAAGCCTTAAAATTACATTCTTGACCATCCCTTTAAATAACCATTCGTTACAACCAAGGTGTGCAGAAGAGCACCTCTCAATGTACAACACATAGAACCTTGAGGCGGATGGGCTACAGCAGCAGAAGACCACACACGGTGCCACTCCTGTCAGCTAAGAACAGGAAACTGAGGCTACAATTCACACAGGCTCATCAAAATTTGACAATAAATGTTGGAAAAATGTTGCCTGGTCTGATGAGTCTAACGCAATCTCACGGCAATTCGTAACTTTTTGATTTAGTGGCTAATTCGTACAATGTAATTCATACAATTTAGTACGATTTGCTCATCACCCAATGCCACACCTCCTATTTTTTTTCGTACGACTGAACTCTTACAAATTCGTACGAATAAGCCACTAAACTGACAAAACGAAAAATACTTACGTTTCCTCGTGAGATCAGGCTGGATAAGTCTCGATTTCTGTTGCAACATTCAGATGGTAGGATCAGAATTTGGCATCAATAACATAAAAGCATGGATCTGTCTTGCTTTGTATCAATGGTTCAGGCTGGTAGTGGTGGTATATTGGTGTGGGGGATATTTTCTTGGCACACTTTGGGCCCGTTAGTACCAATAAAGCATCAGGTCAATGCCATAGCCTACCTGAATATTGTTGCTGATCATGCCCTTCCCTTTATGACCACAGTGTACCCATCTTCTGATGGCTATGGCCATGTCATAAAGTGCAAATCATCTCAGACTGATTTCTTAAACATGCCAGTAAGTTCACTGTACTCAAATGGCCTCCACATTCACTAGAACTCAATCCAATAGAGCACCTTTGGGGTGTGGTGGAACAGGAGATTTGCTTCATGGATGTGCAGCTGATAAATCTGCAGCAACTGTGTGATGCTATCATGTCAATATGGAGCAAAATTTCAAAGGGATATTTCTAGTACCTTGTTCAATCTATGCCACAAATAAATAAGGCAGTTCTGAAGGCAAAAGGAGGATCTAACCTGGTACTATAAAACTGTGCCTAATAAAGTGGCCAGTGATTCTATATGCTTTATTTTTATTCATTCATTCATTCATTTTCTTTTTGGCTTTGTCCCTTTACTAATCTTGGGTCGCCACAGGGGAATGAACCGCCAACTTATCCAGCACTTTTTTTTACGCGGATGTCCTTCCAGCCGCAACCCATCTCTGGGAAACATCCTTGCACACACACTCATACACTATGCACAGTTTAGCCCAATTCACCTGTTCTGCATGTCTTTGGGGAAACCAGAGCACCCGGAGGAAACCCACGCGAACGCAAGGAGAAACTGCAAACTCCACACAGAAATGCAGAGGTTCGAACCAGCAACCTTCTTGCTGTGAGGTGACAGCACTACCTACTGCGCCACTGCGTTGCCTATTTGTTTTATATCTTAAATAATATTA